TGACAGAGGGCCCTCGCATTCGCATACAGAATACAATTGCTCTGTGCGCTGTGCCACGGCCTACTGCAGGTGAACCACGAAACTGCGAGTTGGTGATTATGTGGATGATTCTATGTCGAACAAAATGTCCACCGTATACAATTTACTGCAATCAATAGAACTTAATACAGCTATCATTCAAAACTCTCGCATACAAGAATCATCAATTTTTTCTAAAAAGTAAATAAGGACTATTTATATTTCTAATAATTGATTTGTTTACTTGTTTGTAGTTAATGTTATAAAATAATTAATTAATGAAGTAATTAATTAGTAAAATTACAATGAATGTAGCTTTATTTAAAAAATAAAACATTGTTCAAAGGTTTTCATTTCGTATTTTTAAAACATCAATTTTCAAGTCGTAGAGATAGTCTTCTACTCGCGTAGAATGGCTTAGAGTTCATAGATATTCTGACAACCGCTTCTACGTCGCTCGTGTCGTAAAAGACAACTCGGAATTATAGCTATCATTCTACGTTCGCTCGTTGAAGAATAAATTATTGCATGTGTAATGTTGTTTTATAATGATTGGATTAAGCATTTCTAAGTGCCTAAAATGTCATTTTTCATGCTTAATAGTGTCTAATTTCATAATTTTGTTTCCTGTTTTAGGTGCCTAAATTATTACGTTCTTGGCCTCAAATTCCAAGGTCTACTCATAAGTGACCTGGGTCATACAAAACCAAACATTGCAATGATGCCAAATCCATTATATTGAAGAATATTATTAATGTTATTTGATTTAAATTGTAATTACTACTGGCAGATCTTTCAGTGTTTAATGAAATTCAGATTAGTATAGTCAAATCTGGCAAATTTTCGTGGCACTCTCCGAATATTTATTGATCATTAATATCAAATTTCTATACTTCCAAATATTATTTATTTGTGCGATATATTTATTTATTTATTTCAACAAATACCCTATCTGTTCGCCAAGGTATGTCCGCCGTGAGAAAATATATTTGGTGGGCCGACGGAAACTGTCGTACGCAGTTTAAATACATTAAGTAGTAATAAATATTTATGTTCATTAATCATCTGGATTTGGCGGCTCTCTTTACAATTACGATAGTAATAATACCCATTCTTCAAATAAATAAAATGTTATAATTTGCTTTTTCTTTTGATTTGAACAGAAAAACGTACATATCTAGACCACTTCTACATAAACACATAAAAACAAACAATAACGACACATGAAAACCCTTTGCTCCATGTAACATTCCCATTCATATTAATATTTACAATACACACTTAAATAACCTTTTTGATTTCTCCGTGGAAACATGGCCATTTGCCCTTATGCAATTTGAAATTATTAAAATATAAACAAAAGGTTATCTTTTCCCAATATGTATAGTATTAGTGTTGTTTTGTCATTTCCTTGCTTCTTGAATGTTGAAATGGAATGTCCCTTCCAAATTATTTGCAACATAGTCCAACACACCATTGGCCTTCATATACAACGACCGTTTTCTTCTTAATATAACCACCATGTTTGAAACTTCTCCTGACCGCAGAAGTTCTCTACTCATCTACTTAACACCTCGGAGCGTCTCCGTGGCTAACTAGCTTCCCTCGATCTGGCCATCACCGTGATTCAATTGCTTTTACTTCCCAGTGTACGAAGCGCGGTGCTCATTTGCTTATTTTCAAGAACCGCAGTGCTGGCTCCATTTCGTGTCTTCTTCCTTGTTCTGCTTTAATTTCCTCATCCGTGTCACGTCTTCACTTTTTCTGATTGGATACACACGCCTCAGCGTCTGACACTGTTTACTCTTTGGTTATCGATCTCCTGTACTATGGATGACGTCTACGTATTTTTAATACAGTAATTTATTTTCCTTGATTCGATTACACATTACCCTCAGCGTCTGAACTGTTTACTCTTTGGCTATTGATTCTCCTGGACTCTGATGACGTCATACATATTTTTAATACATGTAATTTTATCAGTGTTTATTTGCCCCCTTGATGACTCATTTCACAAATAACAGTTTTTGTTACCAAAAAATTGTGAGTCAGAATGCAATGCAAGCGTTTAACACGTTTTAAAGAAGAAATAATAATTACAAAAGAAAATAACTTTTCTAAATGCACTAATCGTATCCTTTCTTTACGTCAAACCCAAACAATAAAGTTTTATTAAAAAGGCACAATGCAATTAAAGTTTCACACAAGAATGCTGAGTTCAAACGACATTTATTTTTTATGAAATTTAGTTATTGTATAGAAAGCCAATGTTGGCACTGGAACATTAATATCACATGTTCCGTAAAACTGGAAAAACATTTCAATTTATTATTTTATTGAAATAAAAATAGACGACAAAACGAGAGCCATCAGCAAGGGTGGATCCAGCCATACATTTAAGTGTAGAGAGAATCATAGATTTTTTAAAGTAATAAACTTTTTCTTTTAATTTTAATTATTTTTGAATTGTATATATGATGCTATACAATATTACTTTTTAAATACTTCCATCTCATAACAAAAATAAACACTGAAATAAATTTGGTTAAAAAGAAAAGGTAACAAACTCTTCGCCTTCTTCGTCAAAAAAGATGGAGAATAATGAGTTGTGGCAGATAATGAGTAACAAGGTAGTAGTATAACAATTGTTTTAAAGGGTGGGTTGCTAACAGATCTATACACACACATAATATAAAAAAATGATTAAAAACAGGAGGGCCAGGAAATAGTGAACACGCGCCTCCAGTTGATTAATGTGCTCACGCATACCACAAAACCCAAATTACACAATGTGTAACCCGCACAATTTACATGAAGGAGAGAGAAAGAGAGATCATCTGTGTTCTTCCTTAATTTAGCAAATATTGAAAACACCAATTTGGCTTCTTCATTCTAAAATAATCTATAATAACTTAATATCTATTTTTAGGCGCAGTTTCAGTTAGGTTTGATGATGTAAACAGATCAGTCTCTGAAATGTTTATTATAGTCGATAAAAAAGTCAACAAAAGTATGAAATACACGTAGATTTGTTTAAATGTAGTTGTTCCATATTTAAAAAAGGGGACTGAAAAATATTAGAAAATACAATCAAATCTCCTTTTTATTATAAAATTATGCTAGAATCCTCTGTTCTAAAGAAGAGCTTTTACTAAACAGTATTGCCTCGTATTTTGAAAAAGATAGTGCTCTCGTGGCGAAGTCGTTTACCTTTACAACTGACATTCAGGGTTCGATTCCCGTTGAATGAGATTGCCTGTTCCACAGGGGGCTAGTCTCTTTGAAGCGTCCTAAACCTTATTCCTATCCTGATGACGCAGGGTGCGTGCGAGACGCGAGCACGAAGACGCTACCTGTCGGCGATTTCCTGAGCTGACTGTGACTGGCGTGACTACGTCTACTGAGCGGCCCCTAGAGTGAGCTGGGTGCTTAATAACGGAGGATTACTCCATCAACGGTGCGCTCGACTATCTTTCAGAAGCTAGCAGACGCGTTGCGTATATATAGAAGCAACAAAAAATATTTGTTCTCATGTTTTGGTCACATATATGTATTTTAACAAGTTTATTGTAAATGCATGTTCTTGAAGATGAGAATGCAATGTATTTTCTCAATTGAAAATCATCTTATTTTATAATTTACTGATTTTAAACTAAATTTTTGACGCCTAAAAAATTTACATTAGTGGTCTTGATCATGAAGTTGTATGCTATGCATTAATAATTTATACTTTAAAATAATTGTTATATGTGTCACGAAAATTGAAAAATTTTCAATAAACACAACTAAATGTCCCAAGTGTCTACATTACACAAAATATGCATTACATGTAAAACATTTTCTATCTCAAACTTAGTATTTGGCTTTAGGACACATGTCAAGAGAGACCAGCTACAAAAAAATACACAATTACATGAACGTTCGCAGCTTATAACAATTAAATATAGAATGTATAAATACAGTTCTAAACTTGATAAAAAGATGAATACATCTTAGTCTGCACATTGTCAAAATGTTGATGTACTGAATTCAATTGGGCCTGGGAATATAAGATTTGAAAAACTATTATTAATTCTTAGTCTGAAATGAAAAATAGGTTATGAATAATTTTAAATTTTAGGTGTCATGTTTTATACCTGAAATAATTAAAAAAAATAATGGTGAACAAACATGACTAACTGCAAGTTTTGCTTTGCCAGGAACATCTTTTAGATATAATTATTCAGAGGCACCTAGAGAAAACCAGGGGTTCTGGAACCTCTGATCCATGGTGGACCCTGATTTTAAGCAGAACCCCCCCTCCTTTAAGTCATTAATAGAATTCATTTCTCAGTGCAGCAGAAATAACGTATGGGGTTAAATTTCGATTAGACTTCACTACATTTTTTTTAATGAAAAACTTTCTAAAGCCTTTATTAAGTAGCGCCTGAGGCAACGCAATTCAAATTGAATGAGAGCTGTCATGCTAATGTCATGCTAATTCAACTACTTCATTAATAACTCAGTTTGCTTCATGAAATTGTAGTCAATAACCGGATGTGATCAATTATTTGTATCAATTGGTTGCCCTAAAATTCGGAAGACCTTGATCTTAAAACTTAGGTGTCATGTTTCATACCTGGAATAATTTAAAAATAATTTCGAAGAGACATGAATAAATGAAATGGAGTATTTTTTTCTTAGCCAGATAAAACATGTTTTAGATATAATTTTACAAGGGCGCCCAGAAAAAACCAGGAGCCTGGAACCTTTGGTCCATGGGGGCCTCTCATTTTAAGCAAAAAATTCTCCCTTCACTCACGTCATAAATAGAATTAATTTAACAATGCAGCACAAATACATTATAGAGTTAAATTTCGATACACTTGAATACATTTTTTTAAAATTCCGAGGCCCTAATTAAGTTAGGCCCGAGGCAAGTCAATTCAAATTGAATAAGAGCTGGCATGCAAATGTAATGCTAATGTAACTGCTTTACTTACGATCAGTTAGCTTCAGGAAGTGGTTGTGAATAACCGGATGTCGTTAATTATTTGTAAAAAAAGGTTGCTCTAAAATTCGAAAGTTCTTCATCACAATTCACAAGCTGCAACCATTTCGCAAGAGGTGTTGTTTCGTTTCTGCACTTTTGCCCTATTGACGCAAGCTATGCACTTTCGATCGAACTGCACGGAATACGTAGTCATTATATGCTTATGTGACAGTTTTTCCCCTTTCTTCTTGCTTCAATACTCTGGACACGTATATTCCAGCGCAATTTGTGATTTTCTTCAGCGATAATTACGGATTCGTAGGCAATAACGAATTGAAAACGTTTAAAACGATGTGCTTTTCACTACTCATAAGTTTGACGTATGTTTTATTACTGAAGGGCCAGCAAAACTCTCAGACATTCTAACACGATCTGAATCAAAGAGTATTTATCAGAAACAGTACTCAATGTTAAAAGGGAAAACCATATTTGACCAACATCCAGTGCTGCCACGTTTTTCTGTATAATTTCTATTGGGAAAACGGACAGCCAATAGCGAAGAAGTAACTTGTAAATTTGAAATAAACCAGCTAAGCGGGAACTATAAAGTTTTACTCCCATAATTTTCACGCCTTAATTTATCAAAACTTAACAAAAATAAATATAACGATTTTAAGGAAGAAAAAGTCAAATTAGGGCAGGAAATCTAGTAGTTATTGAGCATATTGATATTAAACTATATTACTAAAATTAAAATATTTTTATTACACAAGGCAATAAACACAGTACACCAGCTCAAAAGCAACTTTATTAGCTTGCAGACATGCAAAATTAATGTGAATATAATGGAATACTGCATTATTACAGAGCATTATGCATTAACAATACCAACAGTGAGGAAAAGAAGCAAATAAAAATATTATCGCACATTTGTCCGAGTGAAACGTTTTTGCCCGAGTGAACACATTTGCCCAATTCCAAGATCACTTAACTCATTACGTGACCTATGTGTCGTACGTGATTCACAAAATGTAACACCTAATGGTTTTAATATATCTGTGAACCACATGTGGGTCAAAAACAATTACAACTTCTAAGGCAAATATTTCCATGGAACTTGCCGTAGCTGCACGGATTTTGAATTAGACTTGCTAGAACCGCCATAGATTTTGAAATACACCTGGACGTGTAGAAAAATATTTCAATTTTTCAGAAAATAACAATAAAATTTGTAATATTAAGTCGTTCGGACCTGCAGATATATTTTGATGTTTTCATAGAAACAGTGAATGTTTTAATTGCATTAAGGGCAGTGGTACCTGATTAGGTGACATGAAACTATTTAGTTTTCTTTGTTGCTTTGGAAGTATTATCTGACCATCTGCGAATTGTCGCATTTTAAGCACTAGTGCAAAAAATAGAATTTATGCCTTGCAAGAACTGCTTTTACTAGTTGCAGCCTAAAAATGTTTTTGTTAATCAAAAAATATTTGACAAAATTAGATTATTTACCCATGCCTATCTCACACATGCACAGTTCAGGGCCTGGCTGTTCAAAGATTGGATCCACTGTGAAACTACATTCAGTTTTAAAACATTGACTTACAAAGAGTGGAGTGACACGTCCAATAATGCTTATGCACCACAATTTAATTCTGAAAATCGATTGTCTCAGTGCAAATATTTTCTTGCACCAGCAACCGAACACTTATTTTCATTTAGGGTCAATTGTGCATGCTTCAAGAGCCATCTCTGAAAGACGATCTGAAAAGCAAAAATATTTTTTTAAGAAAAATGCCATAACCTCCGTTGAATGTTCTGAAATCAAATCTACATAAAAAGATAATTGTTTCTTCCAAGGTAGCATCTACATTTACGGAATTATAAAGCACAGGAATAACTTGCAGCTACCACACACCGAAGTCACAGATTTATCTTCCAGAATGGCTTAGTGCAACTGTTCAGTTGTACAAGGATATGTAATCACCAACCACAAAAACATTTGATTCTTATTTTCTATAATTAACATTCAATTGATACTAATAACAGTATATTCAAAGAAAAAACGAACCATTAGAAACTTCCACAAGAACGTGTGATACCTTACACGTGTGAAAAAGATCAGAGAATGAAGATATATATGAAATTTTTTTGAACTTCAAAATATGTCACAAAGTTATAATTGAGTTTTTTAAAGATTATGTGTTCTCTCCGAAGACCAGATTCGGGGAATGATCCACCAACTGACCTTGCTTCTGCCCAGCAATGACGCAGAATAACCTAAATCCTCCGTCTCATTGCGAAGCACCGCTGCGAACATGCACCTGGAATGTTCAAAGTGCGTGCGAAAAGACTCAGTTGATACACAACTTTGCTACCGAGCGACAGCTCGACATATTGGCGCTGCAGGAAACGTGGTTTCATGAGCATCACACTGCCCATATTCACGGATGCGCAGTGTATCGCCGAGACCGCGAGGTCAAGCGGGGGGGCGGTGTTGCGCTCCTGGCGCGTCATCCCCCAGCGACGCGTCATCCCCCAGCTCGAAGTAACGACCCCACCTGGCGTCTTGCGTTCTCTAGAGGCAGTTGTGGTGCGAGTTTGGACGGTTGGCAATCGTGTCCATCCACTTCTCAAATCAGCAACTAGACACTGCCAGTATCGATGCGATACTCGCGTTAGATACTAAAGTGCTCATTCTAAGGGACTTCAATGCAAGGAACAGACAGTAGAGCTGCCTCGGTGCAAACCGAAACGGCACCCGTTTAGCCAACTACATAGCGACGAGACGT